CTATTTTACTAGAATATCATCTGTAACTGGGTAGGCCTGTCATGGGTCCCCTTCTTTTTTCTCTATATACTCTCTCAGTGACCTCATCACCTCCCACTACTTTAATACCTTCTTCTATGCAGATGATTCCCAGACCTCTAGAGTCAGCTCTGGCCTCTCTCCTGATCTCCAGTCTAGAATCATCAACTATTTATTGGACATCTCAACAGGGATGTCCCCGCCAGCATCTCTGACTCTTTCTGTCAAACGCACTACTGTCCTTCCAATCGCCCATGTGCATAGACTCAACATTATCATCCTTCTCTTGCTCTCTCAAACCCCTCTCTTTAATCACCTTCCAAATCTTGCCATTTTTATCTCTACAACATGATTTGCCTATGTGCTCTCCTCTCTACTCAAACAGCCCCACCCTAGCTCAGGCCCCAATAGCCTCTTAATAACAGCCTCTTCTTGGATAAGCCTGCCTCAAGTCTTTCCCCATTACAATCCATCACCCTCCACACAGCTGGCAAAGGGACTTTCCTAAAACACAGGTCTTACCATGTCACTCCCCTACTCAATAAAATTCTGTGACTTTTTATCACTTCTAAGATCACACAGAAGTTCTGTTTGGTATTCAAAGCTCCTTTCCAGTCTTATTCCCTTATTCCTCTTCTCCCCCTCTGAGGGTCCAACCAGATCGGCCCCTTTATTTCTCCTCACAAATCACTCTGTCTCCCACCTCTCTGACATCTCCCGGCTGCCCCTCATGCCTAGAATGCATTCCTTTCTGGTCTCTGCCTCTGAAAATCCCGACTTGCCTTCAGAAATCAACTCAAGCTGCATCTTCTGTGTGAAGCGTCTCCTCATGTACTCTGTCTCCAGGGCTGCCTTGACTCTCTTGTATATATGCTTTGCGTGTACCTATCTCGGTATGTGTTTGTCTCCCCTGGGGAGATATCAAGTCAACAAACATTTATCAAGCACCTACTATGTGCCAAGCACTGCTGGGGATACAAAGAAAAGCAAAAACTGTCCTTGTTCTCAAGGGGAGCCCCTGTTGGGGGGAGGAGACACACAAACAACCTTGTACAAACAATTGGTAAATACAAGATAAAGTGGGAGATAAATTCCAAGAGAAGGCACTAAGATTAAGGAGGACTGGGAAAGACTTCTTACAGAAGGAGGATTTCAGCTGAAACTTGAAGGAAGCCAGGGAAGCCAGGAGGCAGAGAATTCCCACCATGGGACATAGCCAGTGAAAACGCATAGAGATGGGAGACAGCGTCTTGTGACAGAAACAGCAAGGAGACCAGTGTCAATGGATCACTGAGCAGGGGGTGGGAGGTGATTAAGATGTAAAAAAGACTGGACAGGCAGGAAGGAGCCACGTTATGAAGGCTTTAAAGGCCAGGGATATTTTTATCCTTGATCCTGGAGGCAACAAGGAGCTATCAGAGTTTACTGAATAAAGGGAAGTCATGGTCAGACCTATCCTTTAGGAAGACAGATCTGATAGCTGAGTGGAGGAAGGACTGGAGTGAGAAGAGACGTAAGGCAGGAGCCTGCTGCAATAGCCTGGGCACAGGGTGATAAGGGCCTGAACCAGAGCAGTGGTACTATCACATGAGACAAGGGGGGGTGTATACAAAGATAAAATCAACAGGCATTGATAGCACACTGGATGGGGAGGTAAGAGAAAACAAGGACTTGAGGACACCACATGAACCTGGACATTTGGAAGAATGGTAGTGCCTATCAGTAATAGGGAAGTTCAGAAGAGGGGAAGAATATGTTGAGCTTAAGATGTTCATTCCAGAAGTCCACTGGGCAATTGGAGATACAAGACAGGAAGTCAGCAGAGAGGTTAAGGCAGGATATGTATATTGGAGAATGATCTACACGGAAATGTTCATTCAATCTATAGGAGCTGATAGATTACCTTCTACACACATTATCTCATTAGACCTTTACAACAACTCTGGGAAGTAGGTACTATCCTCATTTCCATTTTACAAATAAGGAAACTGAGGTTAAGCAACCTGCTCAAGTCCTAAGGTCCTGAGATGCAGTCCAGACTCACTCTCCAGCCAGCTCTCTATCCACTACACCAGGCAAAAAGGAGTATACTATTAGGAGAGAGAAAAGTTTAGATTAGAATATCCAATAACTGTCGCAGCTAAGAATCTTCCCATCCCTGAAAGTTGGGACAACTGAGAATATCAACATTTTCTCTCACAGAGCAAGTCAGAGAAAATGACTGCTCTGCTAAAGCAGGTCAGGTTACAGATCACGTGACTGGGACTAAGTGGAAGAGGGATGACAAATTGCCCTTGGCCCTCCCCAATCTGCCTTCACCTCCAACCAGCCTTTCCTCACCACCTTAGAATGTACACTTACTGCTTTTGGCCAACATAACAGCAGTAAGGGACTTCATGCTTGTTCAACTGTCTCTATCGCTCAGGCCTGCGGACCTCAATGTTGGCAGTCCAGAAGCAAGCTCTCTGAAAGGGATGGTGGACTCTGTCTACACCTACTGTCTACAAGCTCACACACTGCCTATCCTACTTAACACAAATACTTTCTCACAACCTTACCCTCCATGACTAATACTAACTTCATGATAAACTAAGTAAAAAAATATAAAATGCCTGGAAGAAGGAAATGAAAATTAACCCTCCTAAATCACAGATGATAATATGTGACTACAGTACAATGCTCAAACAAGAACAAAAAACATGACAAGAAAGATTCTGAGTTTGGAAGTGACAATGGAGAGGGGGCAAAAAATTACCAGGAACTGAAGAAACTTTGGAATCTTAATTATTAGTTAACCACCCAGGGAAAAAATGTTCATCTCCCATTCCATAATAACTCTATCAATACTGATACAACTCCAGAGGAAGAGACCTTCTGAAACATTTCCTCTAGTTACTAGGATGAATAACTGCTATATTAGAATTCCTAAAAGATTTCTCATATTATAATGCCCAAAAGAGGCAGGGCTAAAAGAGTCTTCAGAAATCATTTAATCCAGCTCTTTTGTTTTACAGAGAAAGAAACTGAGGCCCAGAGAAGTTAAGTGATTTGAAGAAAGTGGCACAAGTAATAACTAATAAGCAGAACTTGGGATTCAGACCCAAGTATTTCACCTCCAAGGTAAGATGCTCCTTCTGTAGTCATGGAGTATTGAGGCAGAAGGTCCACCCCTGCCACTATCACTGGAACACCTAGCCATGTTCAATGTCTGGCTTCAGGGCTGATAAGCTGCACGGGAAATCCCAAATACAGGTAGTATGCCCCTAGAACAGCCAAAAGTATGACTTTATTTTTCACATGTGAGGCATTAGCCTCTGTCCCAGACCTGGTTCTGAAGCACATTCAAAGCACCTCCCACCTGGAACAATCCCAAACAAAGTCCTCACAAAACAACAAAGCCCAAAAGGTGGCAAGCCTAAGCAGAGTAGCCATCAAACCAGTCAACTGCTGAAAGGTGCAAAAGGAAACAATAGTGTAACCTTAGTTTCAGAGAGAGAAATATAATATTTCAACTATACCAAAGAAAAAGTAAATTAAAAGCTCACCTTCAATTTCCACACAAAGCAAGAGAGAAAATAATTTTTAAAATATATGTCCTTACAAACCCTTGTTCCTGATTTTCTCCATAATAAGTTTTTTTTCCCCTTATTTCAATAATATACCTTTTGGCAATGATTTCCTCTAGGAATATAACTGGAATCCCCTAACATTTTCACCCTCTTAGTGACATTCACAATAGCTCAATGTGAGCCTTTGCTCTTCTATGTAGAAAGCAGTTCTCTTTTAACATTCGTTAGCCACCAAGGACATTGAATTTTAGGCAAGGTGTAGGCTAGGTACTTACTTTTGCAATACTCTAAGAACAATCTGGTACTCCCGTTCCTGAACTCTTCCCACACTACACTTCAGCTGCCTATGTCTACCATTCCAAGAAAATGAAAGTTGTTGGCCTTTCACCTCTAATTTTGGGGCACTGGATGTCCTGGCTAGGAATATATTTATGACCAAGTGCTCTTCATTTAGACCTGGCTGAAGACCATAAGAACTAGAAAACTCAAATCTTTTATAAAATCACATCATGGAAAACTTTAAAGTCATCTAATGCCTGGCTGTCCCTTTTGAGCTTCTCCTTCCTAAAAGAAAATCAGGTTTGTAGACAAAGGCTTTCCTATAGACACTAGCATTGTTTTTGAAAGGCATCTTCCTTCTTCCTTAAGACCTCTCTCTCCTGTTCCTTATACAACTTCTATCCACTGAGTTTACCCAAGGAACGCTTGTTCTACAGAGAAATGAAATGAATTAGGAATCTATCACTGATGTCACTCTAATAAAAAGAAAACGGAGGAGCACTGCAACGGCATGGCCTATAACTACTTGTCGCAGGTATTATATAGGCAATTACTATTAAGATAAAAGTTATAGTAAGACCTCTGAGGTCTTCTCAGTCTCTGAGATACTATTATTCCATACTTGAAAAAAGCATGTAAGTTGGAAATACAAGTAGACCAAGTCTTTCGATTCCCAGAATGCCAGCTCCTGATTTCAACTTTTTATTGTACATGTGTTTTTTCCATCCCTAGCATATTGCAATGGCTGAGCCACTGACTCCAAACCAAATGCTGTCACCAAGAAGGCTCTTCTATTTTCTTTGAAGGTTTCTTGGAAAGCATAGCACCAAAGGCCAAACATCTGCCATAAACTCCCAAAACATTAACTTGTCAATTCTTGGTCACTTTAAAGAAGCATGCATCCTGAGAGCTGAGAAGGACCCATGAAATTACCTAATGCCAAAAGCGCACCTCATAACAAATGACACCGAGAAGAGTCCCAGGCCACACAGCTAGCTCCTGACGGATGGCACCTAATCTCTAAAACCAACTTCTTTAACGGAAGCATCAGTAACAGTAACTCGGCCTGACACGCAGCCTTCCTTACAACTTTCTGGGGTAGGGCAAGGTTCAAAAGGGCTGGCCCGGGACCACATGGCTTCAAGCCCGTGCGAGAGAATCTGCTTATTATTGCCGTTTTACAAACGAGACGCGCCGGCCCTGAGAATGGGAGACTCAGGTGCCTCCTTCCTGCCCCTCCGCCTCCAGAAAGCAGGTAACTGGGGAGGAAGGCGGTGGGTCGGGCGGCGCTGGCCGATGTCACCGGGGCACAAAGGGACGCTTCCCCGTCCGAAGTCACGGGAGCTACCGCCCCTCCCAGGGGTGACCCGGTGACCGGGGCGGGGGGGGGAAGCACGAGGTGCGGCCGGGCGAACACGCGGCTGGAGGCGGGTGGGGGGCGACCGGGGCGAAAGCCTGCAGGCCCCGGGTTGCGCAGAAACGCCGGGCCGGCTCGGGCCAACCCCGCCCTCTCTCTGAGCCTCAGTTTCCCCGAATGTAAAGGGGCAGCGTCGGGCCTCGACCGTCGCGCAGCTCCCTTCCCTCCTGTCCCCTCCCTTGCCCACCCTCGACGTTACCGGTGAGGAAACTGAGAGCCAGGCAGGGGAGGGCCGGGAGCACCGCGGCCAGTACCCCGCCGTCCGGGCCGCCGAGCCCGCCTCAGTTTCCTCGGCCGGGGCCTACCTACCTGCCTCCCTCGGGGAGGGCGGGCGGCGGCGACGGCGGCGGCGGCGGCGGCGACGGCCGGGCCTGGGCTCGCGCGCCGGCCGGCGGACTGCGGGGGGGAGGGGCGGGCGCGGAGGCGCGCGGACGGGGGGGGCGCGCGGCAGGGGGGAGGGGTCTGAGCGCGGGGACGCGGCCGAGCCTTCAACCCTCGTCCGGCCCCGGCCGCCGCCGCCGCCGCCGTCGCCGCCGCCGCCGCCGCTGCTGCTGCTGCTGCCGCTGCGGAGACATCGAGCGAGCAGGCCGCGCAGCCGAGCGCCGAGCCGGGAGCGCCCGGCGTCCGGCCAGACAGCGCGCGCCGAGCGCCGAGCGCGTCCAGGCCCAAGCAGCAGAGCCCAGGCGCCATGGATGGAGCCCTCCTCATTCCTGTGAGCGCTTGCAAGACTTAGAAGACACACTCCTAAAAAACGATTTTTACTCATGTCTTTTGTTCTCCTCCATCCCCCAGAGCCGTCCCACATGACAAAAAAAGAGACAAAAGGAAAAAGATCAGTTTAACTGACCAATTCACGGGCAGCGGACGGCGCTGGTGGGCAGCGTGGAGAAAAGTGCCGGACCCGAGGCCAAATCTAAGAACGCTCAGCCGTGGCCTGCCTTCCGCAGAGCCCGCAGGAGCAGCGCCCGGGCCAGACCGGGAGGACGCATCCCACGGGAGCAGAAGGATGGGATGGCCCTAAGAAAGCCCAGGTCCACGGAGCGAGGTACAGAGCACGTGGCTGGTGTCCCGACACCTCGGGCTGAGCCATCTTCCTCCGCAGAACGAGGGGCTTGCACTGCTCAGTCCCTCCTAAAGCCCGTCCAGCTCTTTAATAGAGGCGGGCCTTCTCATCCTCTCTAAAAAGTTTTGATGTTGGCCCCGATCAGGTCACCAGGAGAGAGAGTAACAAAAATCACTGTTACAGAAGGAGTCAATGCTTAGGATCAAAGGTGCGGTTGGTTAAGAATCTTTTTTTTTTTTTTGCAACGGTGGCCTGAGACTTTCCCAAGCCTCTCCCAGAGGAATTTTTTTTCTATTTTCGAGCATAATCTCTGTGGTATTGGATACTCCATCCAGTTGCCATTCAGAACACTTACATACGTGTAACAGAGCTATTCCACGAACATTAAGCACCCATTCTCCCATGAACTAGGCACTGGGCTTCACAGGCCAACAATAAAGTAATGCCATCTGTCCTCAAGGAGCGAGCATGGGGGGAGGGGGATTAGGGAAGAGAATATGGCAGTAGAAAGTAACTGGCACAGAGCGCTGAGAGGACAATAACGATGCAAAAATGTCACAGACCAGCTGGACAAGTAAAAGGAAAAGAGTTAAGCAGAGTAAGCAAACTAGGATATATTAACAGTGTGATTATATGTGGGTGTATGCACACATGCTATAAAAATAACATTATGCATCACTAGCACAATAAATGGAAATTTGTACATGAAATAACATTCAGTGAAAAAAAAAATCAGAATGCAAAATAGTATGTACACCCTGGCCACAACCGTGTAGCAAAGGCTGTCAGTTGGAGGGAACTGTAATGTTCAGAGAATCTTGGAATCTCAGAACTGCCAGATACCTCGGAGGTCTTTTATTCAACCCCTTATATGAAGCATGAAATGTTTCTCATTAGGTTAAGGCTTTTGGTATTTTTGCTCATAGTGAAACAAACAAACAAAACCCATGAGGTTTGTTATGTAATTCCATGTTATCTTTCAGACAGTTCTGAGCTATGTAATTAGTTCCAGGATCATTTATTTGCTTTCATGTTTTGACTGATCCAGTCTATGGAAGGCTAGCCTTTTGCATTCTTTAAATGTCGCAGGCTTCAAGCCTCTCTTCAATACTCTTCAGCTCTTTTACAGGCTAGGAGTTTCCCTGCTGAAGGAAGCAAAGTTAATTAGCTGTGGCTGACACTCTTGGAAACTTCCCACAGCCCAGTCACTCCCATCCCCAACTTCTATGGGCCCTTTGACCTCATTCTTAACTAGGTAGATACATAAGCCTGTACCTCTTGAGAAACCCTCAAGACGGCACCTCTACACCCAAGTCAATTGTTAAGGAAGGACATGAAAGTTACGTGCTAGAAAAAAACATACCCCACAAATTGTTGGGGAAGAAAATACAGCCTCTTGAGACCAGGTTGTCCCCAGCACTTAGCCTCAGTGACTGATTGAAAAGGTGCTGGAGCTGGGAGGAGATGCTTTGGTTCAAAAGATGGGCTCTGATTTCTATTACCATGGGTAAATCACGGAACTCCTCAGGAATTCACTTTTACTTGTAAAATAAAGAGAGTGGAGAAGATGGCCTCTGAATCCCTTCCGTATCAGTTGAGCATTTAATCAGTAGGGTGCTAGGAATACAAACCGAGGCAAAGGGCAGTCCCTGCCCTCAAAGAGTTTACAGTCTAAAGGGGGAGACAATGGGCAGACAAATGTGCACAAAGCAAGCTACATCCGGAATGAATAGGAAATAATTAACAGAGGGAAGGCAGTGGAATTAGGTGGGGTTGGGAAATGCTTCCTATATAAAGTGGAATTATAACTGGGATTTAAGGAAGCTGGGAGATCAGTAGCCAGAATGGAGGGAGAGCATTCCAGACATGGGAGACAGCCAAAGAGACTGCCCAGAGCTTTTTACTTGGAAAAAAAATGCCTCTGAAACCTGTCCAAGATCTTTCTTCCTACTTACTCGAGCCTTCTTTATGTTACAATTCAGAGTTTGTTTAGCAAATTCTTCATTTGCTCTAAAAGGTTCTTTCGAGGACAGACTCCCACTTTGTCCCTCATGACATCAGTAACTACCAACTTTTTTTGATGCAGGGATCATAATAAGTGTCAAACCCAGATGTGAGGAACAGAGAAGAGCTGAGGAATGTGGCTTGTGAGAGCCAGAATAAGCCAGGGACACCAGTTAAACTTTACAGGAAAAAAAAAATTAGGACAGTACTATTGCACAATGAGAATAGAGCCGAAACTCAGCCTTCTCTTTTATTTATTCGCCCCGCCTCAATGACGTCACCACCCTCATGATCCTGTCCACAACGTGCCCAACCTCATACCTGCCTTCCTGCCAAATATACCCAGTAGCTGCAGAGCAGGAATCATTGTGATGGGAAATAGCATTCAGCCTGGAAATAAGCAGCAGATGATAATCCCTAATTGTCTTTAATCTAGCCATGAGTCACCTCCGCCTATTTCCCGTTTCAGTCATCAGCTGCTCATTTCTTTGCTTTGACAATCACCAGACTAACACTTCTGACAGCAGATAGGAGCAGATCGAGAGGACAGGTCAGAGACAGCACGTGGTTGGCTGCTATGAATCTGGGAGTAAGAGAATCCTAAGGAAAAGCTCCTTTTGGCCCGAGTGGAAACATGAACGTGTGAACCTCATTTACACATTTGTTATTCCAATCAGGTTATTTTTAAATCAGTATAATTTTAGAGTAGGGGCTTAGTTAAGGATTATTTATTGCCTGGGAAATTTGTGCATCATTTGGTGTTCACAAGGAGGATTTTAACCCTGCCTCTGCCACTGGGAGACGCTAGGCACATTCTAGAACCCACACTAGGAACGAAGTTTCCTTAACTGTCCTTTCGATCCTTCATCTCTTGCCTTCTGTGTTAGGAAATCAGAGAAGGGAAAGGCCAAGCCTTGTCTCAGTGCCATCTTAACATTAAGAACCTTGATCCACTCAGGTACAGGCTGTCCCCAAAGTGGGCAAACTTGCTTCCCTATCAGTAATCATGAGGCTGCTACAAAGGAAATTGCTTTAATGAGATTTCTTTGGAAAGAAAGGATAAGATGGCAAAGTCCGCCTTTGATCAAAACTCCTCCATCTATTCTGATGTTCGACATAAAAAGATGGGGAAGGTAGGAGAACAAGAGAAAAGCATTCAGGTTTGGTCCACAGAGATTAGGTCCAGATATCTGGAGACTTGCTTCAAAATTTGAGTTGAAAGGTCCAGGCTGCTATCAGTCTGTAATTATCCTAGCTGGCAAGATTCTCTTGGCTGGGTAAAGCTTGAATCAGTAATCCATACCTTGTCAGAGACTATTTCTTGGTCAAGATCACATTGACCTCAAGTTATGTCTAAATGAAAGGTAGAAATAGAAGCACCCTATTGATAATTTAGGACAAGAAAATTTACTTTTATTAGAAATATCCTGATAACTGATGCACATCTGGCATTGGGATTTGAATTAGCTGCTAATTACTTTAGTTTCCCCTTTTATTTGTATATGTAAACACTTGAGCTTTTGCCAGCCATTTGGTTTAAAAATAAGTGGATTTCAAACTGGGGTTCACCAAAAACCCTAGAACTGTGGGCTTGATATAGTTACTGAATTGGCAGATGCATCCCATAAAGCGCAGACATTGAGTACAAAGGGATGACAGGCATCCTCACACTGGCGGACAGGAAGCCCTCTGCTCCATTCCGGACTAGCTAAAGTGAGTGAGCATCAGCTCCTGCCGCACGCGGTCAGCTTCAGCATCCAGCGCCTCCACATGCTCGTGTTCCTCTTCTGGCTGCTCCAAATGTCCTGTTACTGGAGAAGACCACACATCCATCCCATGTTCCAGGGACATGTTGTGGAGCACACAGCAAGCTAAAATGATGTGACTGGACTTTTCTGGAGAGTACTGCAAGGCTCCCTTGGACCCATCCAGGCAGCGGAATCTCGACTGGATGGTTCTAAATGTCTTCTCAATTACATTATGAGTTGCAGAATGGGCCATGTTATAGCGATATTCTGCAGGGGTTCCTGGAATATGAAGTGGGGTCATCAGCCAGGTGCGAAGAAAGAAGGAGCTATCACCTATATGGAAGAGAAAACATCAAAATTTTTTATCAGTGGAGTACAACCTAAAAAGGGAATTGCCAAGAAACCACTCTGAGACCATGTGAAGAAAAGCAATAAATCCTAGGGCCATGGTCCATGAAAAAGACCAATGGGAGAACTTTAAGGAATGCCGACATCAGAGGCAGGACCTCTGGGCCTGGTTGGTAATGCACAAGAGGGAAAAACCCTAAAATGGTGGCCTCCAGGTCAGCCCACAACTTCAAGACAATGGGAAGAAGGTAAGGCTAACAGAGGAGAAGATCCCCAGGAAATTTCCATGATACTGAAGATGTTGCACTTTAACAAAATTTCTTCACTCCAACTAACTGTCTAACAACCCAATGCTCCCACCCACAGAGTAAGTTCACGAGAAAGGTGTCTCAAGACACCTTTGTGAAGACGACAATTCCTAAAAGCAAACATAAACATTGGATTCAGAACACAAAAGTATTTCCCAAATTAATTTGGCCATGGAATAATTTGAGGCTTAAAGTATAACTGATGAAACTCATGAATTAACGTTACTCTAGGGAGTCTGGAATTTTCCCCAGGGATAACGGGGGGGGGGTCATAGATATTTGGGTGCAAAAGATAAGACATTAAATCTAGTCCCAACTCAAAGACTGGCACACACGCAAGTCCCTGTTTGATATTTTACAGAATGAATGAAATATCGCTAGCATTCACCTATTTTTATCACATAGGGCAGGATTTGTGGACAACAGATCATTCACCTTCCCCAAATGCCTACTACAGGGATCAAAGGATCATATATTTAGTAAATGTGTAAAGGACCTCAGAAGTGATCACGTCAAATCCTGTCACTTTTCAGATGAGAATCTAAGAGAAAGCAATGTAAATGAGGCCAAATAGGTAGGAAGCAGCCAAGCCAAGCTTCCAACCAAAGTGCTCCATGACTCCAAATCCAGCACACCTTCCTCCGCTCTATCATGGAGGAACTGAGGCACATGAAAGAAAATGAAATGCATGGTCTTAGCATAAGTGGCAGAAACTAGAGCAGAACCCAGGACTTCATGGGGATTCTATTCAACACAACCATATCGTTTTTCTAAACCAGAAAAGTTCACAGAAATACCAAGGCCCTGAAGAAGGTAAGTTGGTATGCTAAAAACAGTAGTTAGAAAAATTAAAGCAGAGGTCAACTGAACAATATCACTAGGGCACTTGCTCTTAAGTTACTGTCCTGATTGAATGACCCAGGGAAATGCTGCCCAAAAACACTGGGGTACAATGTCTTAATCTAACACTGTAATGACTGGCTAGTGATATTCACTGCCTCGGGTAGGTGAAAGGCCACACACAGGGTCACGACCTCCTGAATCTGACATAAACAGCCCTTTGTTGAGTCCCCTCTTGTCCAACTGCTGATCCCTTGATATCTACCCATGATGCATTTCTGTGAATATCTACGCAATGCTCACGGAGCAGTATGCTAGGCATCGTAACAAACATACAGAAGATATGGAAGACAAGTTCCTTCCCCTTTAGATCTAGTATCTTGAAGAACTTGATGACTTTTAATAGTTAAATATTTCAAATTGTGAAACATAATACCATTACACCCAAACTGGAATTCTAAATACCAGATCAAGTCATGGTTTCATTGGCAGTTTATTTTATAAATGTATTATCATTCCTTGAAAATGTGCCCAGAGTTCTGCAAATTGGCAAATATTTTGATCTTCAATCTAAGAAAATTTCAAAAACAGTGCATTAGACAGAAAAGCTTTGAAATATTTTTCCTTGGCTACTTTTTTTTCTCATGGTTTATTTGTTCCTTATCCTCTCTTACAATTGTTGACATTGACTGGGGGAAAAAATAACTACTTAATTACCTAATTCATCAGGCACCTGGAATTATTTTCTAATCTTTAGTTTGAAAAGAACAATTTGAGGTCTAGAACAGAGTCCCACATGTGTCTTCAGGCTGTTGAGAGGGACTGAAAATTCACAACAGTGCCTGGATGCAATCTAGTGGAAGAAACCCTGGACAACGAGTCAGGACACCTTGGTTCCAGTCATGCTTTGGGTAGTTCCAAGGCTTTCGATATTAATTTTTTGGGGGAAGTTAAGTGACTTGCCCGGGGACACACAGCTACTGAGTGTTATGTGTCTGAGGCCGTATTTGAACTCAGGTCCTCCTGACTCCAGGGCCCGTGCTCTATCCACTGTGCCACCCAGCTGCCCCTTTCTATATGAATTTTGTGGTCTTTTAAAGTTGCCTTACTGACACAATTGTAGTAATTGTGGATGATGTGTTTTGTGTATTCTGCACCACTTCATACATGTGTTCCTGTATTTCTCTGAATTCTACAAACTAATCCTTCATGAGGGCACAGTACCAGTCTATTCATATCATCATCATCATAGCTCATACTTCATCAGTCAGCAAACATTTAAGCATTTACTATGTGCCAGGCACTGTGGAAAGTGACGAAGATATAAAGACAAAAATGGAACAGTTGCTACCCTCAATTAGGTTACAGTCTTCTGGCGGAGACCCATAAGTACAGAGGGAGCGAGATGAGATCTACCATGCCCCAGAGGTCTCTGGGCAAAAGCTAAAAGACCACACTTGTCCGAGATGTGGAGGCTCCTGGCCAGATACAGACTGGATACATCCATCACTCCTGAGTCTCTGAGGCATCAGAATCAAAAGCCAGATTATATGGAAACAAACCTATTTGTACAAAAATATTTAGGCTAAGAATTGGAAATTGAGAGGATGCCCATCAATTGGGGAATGGCCAAACAAGTGGTGGTATGTGACTCAAATGGAACACTACTTTGCTATAAGAAATGACAAGCAGGATACTTTCAGAAAAACCTGGAAAGACTTGCATGAACTGATACAAAGTGAAGTGAACAGAATCAGGACAACAATGCACACAGTAACAGCAACATTGTACAGTGAAGAACTGTGACTGACTTAGCTATTCTCAGCAATACAATGATCCAAGACAGTCTCAAAGGACTCATGATGAAAAATGCCATCTGCCTCCAGAGAAAGAACTGATGTTGTTTGAATACAGACCAAAGCATACTTTCTTTCTTTTTCCCATTTTGAGTCTTCTTGCACAAAATGACTAATATGGAAATATTTTATATGATTGCACACGTCTAACATATCAGCTTGCTTACTGTCTCAAGGAAGGGACAGTGGAGGGGAGGAGGGATAGAACTTGGAACTCAAAACTTTAAAAAAAAGAATGTTAAAAATTGTTTTTACATGTAATTGGAGCAAAAAATTATTAAGAAAAAAAGCCAGATTATATTTGCCAACACGATCAGCCCAGGAAGGAATGTGGGCAGAGGCCTTTGGGGAACACGCCCACCAGGGTGGCACAAAGAACCCAGAGCCAAAGAACTCAGGCTCACCTGTTTGGAGGAGAGGTAAAGCCAGAGCAGGAAATTAGGTCATTCAGTCTGGAGAAACAGACTCTATGGAGTCACATACATAGTGAGCCTCAGCCTTCAGGCTCCACTACTCCTGTCTCATATCTGACAGATCACAGGATGTACTCTGGACTGCGAGTATAGCCTTTTTCATTAAACTTTTTAAAACATCCTGGGAATACCTGGGTTAAATCCAGCCTCAGTTTCCTCAACTGTAAATGGGGATCATTATAGCACCAACCTCACAGAGTTATGAGGAAAAAGTGAGATTGTATTTGTCAAGTGCCAAACCAGTGCCAGGCACATAGTAGGCACTTAATAAATGCCCATTCTCTCCTGCTGCCCTCACTGCCCCACTCCTACACTTTCAGGCATAACCCTCTTTTCAATTCTATTTTGTATATACAAATACCAGTTCTTTTTGGTATCTGTTAAATTGAGACTAAAAACAAAAATTTAAAAAAAAAACACTTGCTCTCTACAAAGTGTCCAGTGACTCTATTTGCCAAATGCAGCGGCCTTTTCTCAGGCCTCATCCTTCTGGACTTCTCTGCAGCCTTTGCCACTGCTGGTCCTCCTCTCTGGCTCTCCTGATTCTCCTACTCCCTGTCTGAGCCTTCACCCATTACTATTAACCGTGGCTATCCTCCAAGGCTCTGGCTAGGCCCTCTTCCCTACTCCTCCTAGACTCTTTCACTTGGTTATCTCATCAGCTCCTGTGCGTTCAGTTAGAGGATGCTCAAATCTACTCACCCAACCCTAACACCTCCCCTAACCTCCAGTCTCACATCTCCCCCTGCCTATTAGGACATCTTCAACTCCATGTCCTGTAGTCATCTCAAACTCAACACGCACAGAAGTCCCTTCCCTCAAACCCTCTCCCTTCCCAACCTCCCCGGGCACCACTCTCCTCGCAAGTCACCCAGGCTTACCAACTCAGCGTCATGCTCAGCTTGTCACTGGAACTCATCCCCCAGAGCCAATCTGTTGCCATTCTGTCATGTTTCTACCTTTCCAATAGATCTCCTATACATCTCATTCTCCCCACTCACACAGCATCACCACAGTCCAGGCCCTCACTCCTCAGGCCTGGCCAATTACAGTGACAGGACAAAGTTCATCAGGATCCCCAGTATGTCTTGCTCGTTCCCATATTTTGTGGACATCGGACGCTCTGGGTTTTGTCACTGGTTCCTTTCTTTCTACCAAGCAATATGAGAGGAAGCCATACAACCAAGTTTTTAAATGGAAGGAAACCACATCTTTGACTTCTTTTGTATCCTCTGGCTCCATCTAGTATGGAGCTGGACACACAGTAGGACTTTCTCAAATGCTCCTAATTTAACCTTCTTATTACTAAACATGTCAGCATTTGTAGTTCAAAATTATCTATGATACTATTTCTTGGAAACTAATAGAAAAACTGGATTGCAAATCATAAAATAAGGTTATAGCTTTAAAGAGATACCAATCTGGGGCAGCTCGGTGGTACAATGGATAGAGCACTGGCCCTGAAGTCAGGAAGAGGCTGGGGAGCGAGTGGAAAGCCAAACTGTGAAGAGGCTGCGCCTGAAAAAAGGCTCTAACTGGTTGGGCAAGAGGGGAGAGATTAAGGATGATCATTTGAGGGGACAGTTGGGCCTAGTGAAGGTTGTCCTAAGACCTGGGCATGTTTAAAAGCAGTATGAGAGGAACAGTAGATAGGGAGAGCAGGAAGATGATTGAGTCTGAAGAGGAGAACGAGATCAAGGTCCATTGTAGCCCCAGGAATAACAGCCACCTCACTCCAAGAGCCTAGGAAAGAGATGACAAGAGGGGGATGTGGAACGGCCCTGCTGGGCCTTCAGGTACTTCTCCAGGGCAGCTGGCTATGGAATGAAGGGCCCATCCCAGTATAAAATCAGGGTCCTTTCACCCTACGTTCAAACTTACCAAGGAGCCAGCAGTCTTTGTGCATCCCCGCTTCAAACTGACTCCTCAGGGCCGACTGCTGCAGAACAGCCCAGTCCTGGAGGCTGCCTGGCCAGTTTGTCTCCACATTCAGCAGAGCCCCCCGGATGTCACACACCATCAGACAGTTTAAAGAGTGCAGGCCCTTACGGTTCACATAGGAGAGGTCTTCAGCATTGGGAGCCTTGATCCCCACATGGATGCAGTCAACTACTCCAATCACTCCTGGCATTCCTGCTAGCCCATAGAATTCATCCTTCAGACTTTGAATAGAGATTTCATCTGCTGGGAAGTGGATGAATTGAGAGGCCCTTTCCACCAGGGCTTCTGTGACGTTGGCAACACAGCGGCTCATTGAGGCCTGACTGATTCCAATGGTGTCTCCCATCCGGGTCTGGAAGGAGCCAGAAGTGTAAAAGCCCAGTGCTGCAAGAATCTGGGTTTCTGGGCTGATGGCCCTGGACCGCTGAGTGGGGCGAGAAAGGCTGGCTCCCAAGAGATTTACCAAGTAGTAAATGAACTGGCGTGGAAAGCCGTACATGGCCATAAGGTATTCATCAGTCACATCATCCAACTTAAAGCGGTCCAAAGTTCGATGACCGCGGCCATAAAGCAAGAGATCACAGTCCAGAACTGTTATTGGTATGGCCATGCTGACCTCAGTGGGACAGCAAGCTACATGAGGAACACTCAGAATTCAACAGGCGTCTTTCAAACAGTTTACTGATTTGTCAACTTCTGCCTGTGGAGATCAAATGGAAAGAAGTCACCAAACAAAGTCAGAAACTTGAAGAATGCTTTCTCGGCCACGTCTTTGTAGTGTTTTTGAGGTCAAGTGCAAAGGGGTGATATGCTAGCCTTGGGTGAGCCTCCTCAAGATGAGCTGATTTCCTCACTGCTTACTTGGAGTTCAAGCTTTGCTCTCATTTAACAATTGAGTTATTCCCACACAAGAATAGCAAAAGTCTAGTGGTTGTGATGATATATATCACACACTGTCTATAATACCCAGTAAGCTGGGAGGAGTGAGAAAACTGGGGTCAACACACCTGAGTGAAGCCTACTTCTAGCACTAACTGGGTGCGTGGCCATGACCAAGTCTCGAGCCCCCTGGGCCTCAACTTTCTTATCTGTGAAATGATTCTTTCAAGCATTTTCATAATTCTACCTATCTACTTTTGCCTCGAAGCAAAAGTCAGAAATCCATTAAGCTGTCAGCTTCTAGAGAGCAAGGACAGTCTTTTATTTTTCTTTGTATGCCCAGCATTTATTATAGTGCCTGGCACATGGTGTGGGATAGGGGGGAGGAATGGGAGAATGGAATAAGCATTTATATAGCACCTACTATGTGCCAGGCACTTTACAAACAACCTCAGTCGATCCTGAAAACAACCCAGCAAGGTAGGTGCTGTCATAATCTCCAATCTGCAGTTGAGGAAATAGAGGCAAACATGGGCGAAGTGACTTGACTAGAGTAACAGAGCTAGTAAGAATACGAAAGCCGAATTTGAACTCAGGGCTTCCTGACTCCAGGCCTAGCTCTCTGTCCACTGAGCCACACAGCTGGTGCTTAATAAATGCTGATTGTCTGACACCAGCAATTCTAAAATTAAAATTGACACAGAGGCTGGGATGTGATGGGAGACCACATCACCCATCGCCCTTTATTATTTCCTCCCAGATCCACTATTTAAGGATGGAGCCCAGGACAGGCACGTCATCATTTCTCACCTTGCTGCTCTTCTGGACTTCATCATTACCTCCAGAAACTCGGATCTTCCCCAAGTCTCACATCTACTCTGAAACTCACACCTCCTCAGTGTCCTTCTTTCAGCTTTTTATGTGTTCTCTTTGCCCCCATCAGACTCAGAGCTCCTTGAGGAACTGTCTTTTGCCTTTCTCTGCATCCCCCAAATTTAACACAATGCCTGGCATATAGTAGGAGCTTAATAAATATTTACTGGCTCTCTCGGGACACCTCCTGATAATAATTAGAGCTAGCATTTACATATCGCTTTACATAAAGGTCTGGAAAGCACTTTTACATGTTACTTCATTGAATGCTCACAACCTCCATTAGAGGTGGGTGCTATTATTATCCTCATTTTACAGATAAGGAAACTGAGGCAGAGAGAGACTTGCTCAGCATCACCCAGCTAGTAAGTGCCTGAGGCAAGATTCAAGCTCAGGTCTTCCAGATTCCAAGTCCTTCATTCTACCCACTGATCCCCACAGCTCCATCCATCATCAAGATGAGATGGATGAAGATGGTCTACACTTTGCACCCAATCTACCCAAACAAGTGTTTATTAAGCACTTGCTATGGGCAAAGCCGGTCCTTGCTGGCCAGTGGAGGTCTTAGCTAAAGGCCAGATGGAGGGCCCATGGTCTTCGCGGTGCATCAGCGAAGCACAGGCAGTGGACAATGCTGAGGACTTGGGGGAGCCAGCCAAGTGCTGTGACTTTAGAAAGCTTCGGGCCCTTCACAACGTGTTGGCTTGCCCTCTCTGGGCCTCAATTCTATTCCACAAACACTTGAGAGATTGAGGAACAAAAAAAAGGAGAAAGTTGCTGCCCACAAGGGCCCGTCATCTTACTGGGGGGAGGGAGATGCACCACGCACCCAGGTCCAGGAGCCCATTCCAACGTCTGGATCCCGGGGAAAGGAAAAGTTTCCTGGCACTATGGAGAGAGCATTCACTGGCTTGGGAGTCCCAAGGCCTGAGTTTGAATCTCATCTCTGCTATCACTGTCCGGGGGGGGGGGGCCGGACTCGATGGGGAACCTCTCTGGGCGTGGCTTTCTCCTTCGCTAAACGAGGGGGTTTGGCAGGACCCACACTTCCGGGCCCTCCCAGTTCTGATCCCACCAAAGGTGGATGAGCACACCCAACGCTAGACGGGTTGCCAACCCCAAGCAGGCCAGGCTCTCGAGAGGCTTCCCTGGTCCGGGGGGAGGGGGTGACGGCCGGGTAGTACAGGACCTCAGTTTGCTCCTCTATAAAGGGCCCCGAGGCGAGGGGCCACGGATGGCTTGCGCGGCCTTCAAGGCTCTCCCCAGCACCAGGCTCCTCCGCCCTGCCCCCTCCAAGGATCACCCACCTTGTTCCTCCCCAAGAGCGGTCACTCGCACGCCCGCTCTGCTCCAGCCTCACCCCCCAGCCCCAGGGGGGGTGCCGTGCTCCGTGCCCTCCATCCGCCGAGCGGCTACCCGCGGCAGCCCTCGCGGACCCCGCGACGCTCCCTCCGCCTGCGAGCCAAAGCGCGTCCGCCGAGCTGCCCCAACTGCGCCGCCGACTGGCCGAGGCAGCGACTGCGCCGATTCCGCGGCGCAACCACCCGGCCGTACGGCGGACCCGGCCCTACGCCAACTCCGCAGCGAAGCACCGCGCTGCACGGCGAGCCCGGGCCTACGCCAACTCCGCAGAGGGTCCTCCATGCTGGGCCTGCGCCGCGCTGACTTCCCGGCCGACCCGCCGCCCGGGGGCGACCGAGCGGCGTCCCCGAGAAAAGTCACGCCAACTCCTGCGCAGAATCGCCGCTCAGGCTGCCCCGCCCCCTCGCCGGCCCCTAACAGCCCCCGTAGTCTTCAGTTTTCTCATGACAGATTCCACACAGCGCCTAGTTCCCCTTTTCTTTCCCTTGACCCTCGCCTCTCCGTCTTCTGCCCCCTTCTAAGTTTGACCACTGGCCACGGGAGACTTGTACCGAAGGCAGATGGAAGTTCAGGGGGATCCTGGGCCGCGAAAGGACGAATGGAGGCTGGGGAGCCGGAAGTGAAAGTGCGATTGCGGATGGCTCCCGGGCTTTTCCTGAGCCTTCCCCTCCCCCCTCCTCCAGCGAAGCGGATGAAAACAAACAGCAGCGATGGCGGCACCAGGAGCCGGGAGGCCGCTGGGTCGGAGCCGGAGCCGGAGCAGCGCGTGACGAGCCCGGACCGGGAGGCGGTGGAACCCGCAGCGCGGAGGGGGAGCACGGGCGGCCGGCCTTGAGCCGAGGCAGGCGCAAAGCCCCGCAGCCCCGCGAGGAGGGAGGCCCTGGGCGCCCAGCGGCGGGGCCCAGTCCGAGGCCGGAGGAGGCGCCCCGGGCCCCGGAATGCGAGTCCCGAGCCCCAAAGGTACTGCCTCCCCCGAGAAACCGAGGCCGGAGAGGGCCCACGGGCCCGTGAGCGCGTCCTCTCGTCCGGCTTTCCCGTTTACAGGTGGGGAAACTGAGGCTGGAGAGAGGAAGTGTGTTCATGTGGGTCAGGCGAGGAAGGGCGCTTGCTCTGAGCCCGGGGGAGCCGGCCCTGGCGCGGTGACAGCCGCAGGATGCGGACCGAGAGGACCGTGGGGTTTGAACCGGGTGCGCTCCTTGTCCGAAGGCCTCAGCCTCGGGGGCCGCAGAGCTCGGAGGGCTCCCGGCCCCCCCATGTCACTCATAAGGAGCCCGAGAGGGGTGGGGAGGTGACGCTGTATAACGAGGAGGGAACCTGAAGTCTGGACAGAGGGCAGCCCCAAGCCCAGGGTGGCCACGTAGGAAATGGCCGAGTTACGTTGGGGCCCCTCGGCTTCTCCTGGACTGCCCCAGACCCCGTCACCTTGAGGGGTGGCCCCGTTCAAGGAGGGGAGGCACGAGAAAGCCTGGGCCAAAGCCTAATTCTGCTCACCCTCCCCCCAAGGCCCGCTCTCATCATCTGTGACAAGTGGGTGATAATTCTGGGACCACCCCAGGGTGTTGTGGGGAAAGGAGGCATCAAGGCAGAAAGCCTAACTCTGTAAGGCAGAGTTAGTAGTGAAAAAAGTTCCCTGGGGCTCGTGGCCCCCTCCCATCTCCTAACCGCGATGTAGCACTGAAGGGCGTATCTCCCCGTGCGCGCCTGAGCATCAGCACGTGGGATTCTGGAGGGCAGCGCCTCTGTGTTTGTCTCCCTTGGTGTCCTCAGTGATCGGCACATGTTGTGATTCGGTATTCAGTCATGTCTGACTTTTCGTGACCCAATTTTGGATTTTCTTGGCAAAGATGCTGGAGTGGTTGCCATTTCTGTCTCCAGTTCATTTTACAGGTGAGGAGACTGAGGCAAACAGGGTGAAGTGACTTGCCCAGGGTCACATGGCTAGTACTCCTCTGAGGTTGGATTTGAACTCAGGTCCTCCTAACCCGAGACCTGGTGCTCTACCCAATACACAACCTAGCTGCCCATTGGGCCCATACTAAGTGCTGGATAAATGCTGACTGGCTGACTAAGGATTTTTTGGCTTATTGCTGACTGCTTACCTGCAAGAGGATTCTGAAATGAAATCCTTCATATCCTTTCTCAGAAGAAAGATCCTTCTTTTTTTTTCCTTATTCTTCCTTCAAGCCCTCCCCACTAAAAAAAAAAGTTATCATTCGTTGGACACCATTGAAAAGAAATAATAGAGTGTATAGAGTGCTGAGCTTGGAATAAAGAGCACTTAGGTTCATATTCTTCCCTTATCCCTTCCTAGCTATGAGACAAGTCACTAAACTTCTGAGCTTCAGTTTCCTCATCTGTAAAATAAGGGTAATAACACCTGTGGAACCAACCTCACCTCTGTGTAAAGTGATATGTAAATGTGATCAAATCAGTATAGGAGAGGCATCACTGTATATTGGATGAAGAGCCGGAAGACCTGGGTTGGGGTCCTGCCTCAGATTCATACTGTCTCTGTGATCTTGGGCAAGTCAGTCCTCTAAGCCAGAGCTTCTTAAACTTTTGCCACTTGAGACCCTTTCAGTGCTTCTTAAACTTCTTAAGCCCCATGTGGGGTCTTGCTTAGAGTCTAAGCAACTCTCTTAAACCAGAACTTACAGAGAACATACTGGCCTGCATTGGTAAGAAGGAGTTTTCTCATGTGGCGATCCGAATTCCACTGAGTCACAGGTCCATTTTCTGTTCCTGGGTGCCAGGTCCTGGACTCCAGGTCGGGAACCCAAAGACAAATGATACTCCCTGCCCCGGATGTTATTCAGCTCTCCTGACATGGACTTTCCAGAGAGTGGTAGACTTTATCCTCAGTGTGACACCTGGCAAACTGCCAGAAAATCCTTGTCATTGAATCACTGACTTAGTAGTGGAAGGGACCTTAGAGCCATGGATGGCAGTTTGCCCATTTTTTCCCCATTTGTGAAAAGTGAAGAAGTGACTTCTCGAAGGTAAGCTCTGGGAACAAACAACAGAGCTCAGGCTTCTCACTTCTCATTCTGCATTTGTTTGCTTCTATGCACTAATGCTTTTTATGTCTGTATATTGGTTTTATTGAACTGTCAGCTTTTTCCTTTCTCTTTTCCCTTTAGAACAGTATTGCAAATGTTTGTTAGGTTGATTAATTGCAGTGCTGTGAACATGAGGTGGGTGCTCACTAGTGTAGGCCCGAGGTAGAATGGCTCATGTGGAAGTCATCTGTACTGGTGGTTGTTTGTCCTTTGTTCTCAAAGAGGGACATGACATCAGGAAGACTTGCGAGTGAATTGGATTGAAGTGAGGGAGGGCTATGCAAGGTCACCAACCTCACTTTCTCCTCTGGAGCCAACTGGGTCTAGTGGCCAGATACAGGTCTGGATACTGGCCCCCTCTGTACTTGGTGGATGTCACTTAGATGTGCCCCATTTTAAAATTACCTTAGACAGCAGGGACCCTGTCTTCTGGTTTTCCATTCAACTAAAAAAAAAAAACAACAGTTGAATTCAACAAATAAGTGCCTACCTACCTTAGGGAAGGTACTGTGCTAACTAACCCCTAGAGATAAAAATGGAACAGTCTCTGCTTTTGTGAAGATTCTGCTTCCAGTACTGTCTCCCAGGACATTCTTCTTGGGGACTACAATAAGTACACAGATATGGTCCCCTGAACATTTTATGACTGTGAAAGAAGAAATGAGGAAGGCATTCATGAAATCACAAATCCTTATGCTTTGATCTCTTTTTCCTTAGTTATTTAGCTTTGGGGGGTTTTTTTCCTCCAAGTGTGATTATTTGAATTCAAGTAAGCAAACTCTGATTGTGTGAGGGATTTTGTTTTATATTAGGCCAAAAGGGAGCTAACTACCCCACGAGGCTGTGCTTGATGGCTGTGCATGGCCTGTGCCCTCGAGGATGGCTGTTGACTGGAAAGCCAGTTCTTTATCTTGGGAACCGTACAGACCTGATTTACTGGGGATAAGATGCCTCAACTGTCCTGAACTCTGCAGACCTGCATGCTCCCTTTCTCGTCCTCGTGATGGGCACATTTGGTTGTGATACTGTGATTAGTTTTACAGGACAGACTAAAGAATGCCCTGGAAATATACTGAAAATTATAGGGTGCCCGATGGTGTCGTGACTGTGACATCAACTTCTTGAGTTTTGCTGTATTTCATGAAAAACTTCTTTTTCTTTTTTTAAACTGGGGTGGCAGGGAGCAGTCTGGTGCTATGATTTCATTGGTATATCCTTGAGAGTTCCCTGTATATAGCCCTGGAAAGTTAAGTGGCCTTCATACAACCAGTCTATATAAGGCAGAACTTGAACCCAGGTCCTCTGTGCTTTGGAACTTTTTGCTTTTGAAATGAGACCCTTAAGTATATTTAAAAGTTTTGTGAGATCAATAATCATAGAATGGATTGTCTGTGAATCAAATGTTCATATGCCTTGGAATTTATTTTTAAAACTGGATACCTACGTCTCTGAGTAGAATAGAAGTAATTGCCTTCATATTAGCATTTTAAAACATCCAGCATTGATCCTCTAGAAGCAAATAAATGCCTGCTATGTGCTAGACACACTGATGAAAAACAAAATGATCCCCACCCTTAGGGATCTTACATTTCAAGGGGGAAACTGTCTGCATGAAAACAAAAATTGAGACTAAGTATTCACAGCTAGGTGACATAGTGGCTAGAGCACCTGGCCTGGAGTCAGGAAGACCTGAATTCAAATCTGTGTGACCCTGGGCAAGTCACTTAACTCTCTTTGCCCCAGTTTCCTCATCCATCAAATGAGCTGTAGAAGGAAATGGCAAACCATTCCAGTATCTTTGCCGAGAAAGCCCCAGAAAGGGTCACAAGGAGTGAGACATGATTGAAACCAACTGAACCAACACACAAAACCTCTGTAGAGAGTGCTCTAAGGGTGTCTGAAAGCCCACTCACTGGGACAGGGCTGGTACTTGAGCTAAACCAGTAAACCCATAACTTTGAGTTTTCCATTGTTGTGGAGGGTGGAGGAAGATTACATTATCTAGAAGTTCAGGGGGAGAAATCTAATGGAAAAGAGGTGTGTAGTTTTTCAAATGTTAATGTAGTTTTTGAAATTGCTTCCTTTGTATTAATTGATGGTTTTATAAATAGGTGCTAATGTACCCTTAGTTTCCCCAGATTAAAACTGTGAGCCATGGGCTTCCCTATTAGAGCTAGCCAGCCCTGGTTCCTGTCTGCTGTCCTTGGTCACCGAGGGAGGGTGAAAGAATCCAAATCACCTGCCACAAAGAAAAAAATTCAGAGCATGTGTCCTGCTGAGCATAGGTCAGTGGCGTCAGCTGCTCATTTATGGAAGCAGCTGACTTGGGGGTATTACTGTTCAGGAATGATCATTTCTTCATTTTTTTATTCGTATGCATGTAGAATGATAATAGTAGCAGACATAAATGCTTTGTTAAACCTTAAAGCAATAGCCTTGTGAGTTAAGGAGGTGCAGTTAGTACAGTAACATGTGTGGTATTGATTCCCACTTTACAGATTAGGAAACTAAGGCCACCGACTGTAGTCACGGGAATAATATTGATGGAGTAAAGATCCTCGACCCTGAATTTTCCCAAACATTTCAGTAGCCCAGATCACAGGTGCCTCTGCCCAAGGCATCTGGCCCACCGCAGCTCGCCTTGATTACCTAATCAGCTTACTTGACACTCCTTAATCCTGTCTAGACCCTTTCGTTGCTTACCCCTGGCCCACCCCAGGCTACTTACCAGTCCTTAATGGCATCAAGATCTTTTCACTGACCCTTCCCCCCCCTTTTTTTTTTGTATGTAAGTATCTGTCCCATCCTCATCAAGTTTGCTGGTTCCCTAAGAATCTCACCCAGGCTTCTACTGGTTTTACAAATTGACCTCATTACTTTGACTGAAGAAGACTTGAGGAG